TACTGGCAGAGCATAAACTAAGAAATACAATCAACTCTCGTTATGTTTTATCATACAACGGACACCCTCGGGACCGTCACTGGTGTCCATAATAACCAGATTTAATTACGGTTTTTTCTTCGCTTCCGCCGTAGATATTGCACATGTTCAAAATTATGAGGTGTCCGTAATATCGGACGAGAATTGTAATATGTATAACGACATGGCAAATGTCTACTTAAGGCAAAAAGAATACCATTAGGATACCATTGACTGTGGTTTCTTCTCATACAGCTTGTTTGGATTTATATCCAATAACCTGTCCTCAGTTCAAGAATTACTGCTCCAGACAAGGACAAAACGCCCGGTTCATACGATATCACTGTTTCAATACCTGTGGAAGATGTGCCGCACATTAGGTATCTATCTTTTCCTGTAATCATTCTGAGGTCGAGGGAAAACTAGGATCAATAGGGATAAAGATCAGAATCTCATAAAAGGGTGAAACTTTTAACAGCCATACATTTCTTTTGTACGTACGTTTCTTGGTAATAGAACCCTTACATGTGACGACAAAGCAGCTCAATTTGGAGGACAAAACAAAAGAATTTCAATCTCCTGAGAATTGGAAACCTATTGTTAAATCGTCCACCAAATTGAGCTGCATTCAGACGTAGTACAAGGGATTTATTCAACTTTTTTCTTGACAAATTGAGGTAATTTTCCAGTAAATCACGTCCTCTTGCTTCAAATTCTCAAAACTTAATCAAAGACATATATCCCAAATGTTTGATTGAAAGATTTAGTAAATCTCCTCTGAAAGTCAGGAAATTCAGCTAGAAATTTGACATGCGAGAGAAGCGGCCAATCTCGTACCCAGAGCCCTTATTTCTTACTGCGCATGCTCGACGAAATAATTGGGCTCTGGAAAACTCCATTATTTCCTGTGCTGTGATTGGTTCTCGAGAACAAAGGAAGATACCGGAAGTAAAAATCACAGGAAAAATAAACAAGATGGCGTCTCGAATTAAGTACACCAAAAAAGCCCTAGGATTTTTCAAAGTTTTGCCGGTTTTGTAATGGAAATTGTATTGATGTCCATCCGATAGATATTTTCGGAGTTAATTTAACTGAAAACCATCTTCAAATCTAATTTTCCAAGCGCAAATTCACATGCTCGTTAAACATCGTCCGCCATTTTGAATTTACCTAGTCTGTCATAATGCGCATGTGCGAGAAACCCAGAATCTGGGTCTTCCGGTTTGGAGTTTTCCAGACCCCAATTATTTCGTCGAGCATGCGCAGTAAGAAATAAGGGCTCTGGGTACGAGATTGGAGAAGCGGCCATCTTGAAACCAAACTCTTAATTCCAAATATGGTATCAAAACTCCTAATTTGCATATCTGAATTTTACAGAGCATGGTCATAGTGTTACGCGTTTCAACCCCCCTCCCCACCCCCCCCCCCCTTATAAGTTTCTGTAGAGATTTTTTTCACAATATACCCCCCTCGGCAAGATGTTAGTTCTCGTTCGCTTGAAGAAACGTAATTCAGTTTTGTTTTAATTTTGTTGCAGAGAATAACTCTACGTCGATATGTATCGCATACCTCGTGAAAAATAAAACTACAATCACTCATTGTCTGTAAAAAGTATATAAACAAGTTAAGTTATGATAACGACTCAAACATTAAAAATCTAACAAACGCTCTAAGGGTCTTAAATTATGCTTTAAGTGACTACTCTTTTTCAGTCGGTTGCTCTGACTTGTAAGACAGATCATTAATGGTTGATCAAGGAGCTCAGTGCATATCATCAAATATTTTAACGAGTTTTTCTTCATCAATCCGACACACCTTGACATGTTTTCAGCTCATTTCTTTTTGCACGTGTTTGAAACAACACATTCAAGGCTCATTGGTAAGCATGCCCCAAAATTCCGACCCCCGCTGGGCAGGGCCGTCTGATAAATTAAATGCTTGCATGGTTTTCGTTTTTCAGAGCACGAGATTTTTTAAATTGGTGCGTGATGAGTACGAACAGGTATGCGAGTCAGCCAGCTAGAGGTATGCCGCGGTTTGGCAGCGTATCAAGGAACTTACTGCAACTCAGTAAAATAAACTTGGTTCATATGAGGCCTTGAGCTAGTGCGCACACCATATATCCGTAAAAAACGTCGTAAAAAATCCACTAATTTGCACAAATTAGTAAGTTCAGTAGACCTCAGTAGACCTACCAAACTTTGCACAAATTTGTACAATTTTGGTAGTTAACATTTTCACTAATATATGGTAGCACTCTACTGTGTGTTGAGATACTGAACCAAGTTTATTTTACTTAGCTATGCTACTGAAAAGCAACTTAAACCGGTTAAAACTGGGAGTTATTTCTACCACACAACTAGGGGGAAGACGCTTGAAAACACACATAACGTTTTGCCGGCTATTATATGTAAGTTGCGGAAATTCCGTTTGAAAATTCCAAATTTCTACTATGTTAATGGTCGTGATGAATTGGCGGCATCGTGACACTTTTCGTTTCGCTGTACCTAGCTCATCACCGTCAATTTTATCAGTTAAGTCCGGAAAGGGCAAACCTATATTTTCATTTCGTATAGCAGTAAAAAATGCCTGGAATGTACGGCCTAATCTTATTGGAGTCGTTTTCGCCCACTGTCGCGTTCACCGCAAAAGCGTTGGCTTTCAAGGAATAACAAAAAAATTTTGCCACAATAATTTGTTTCAATTGGTTTTTTACATTATCAGTTTTATGTGAAGCAACCGGAACCACGGTCATATCTTGTTCCCTCAAAAGAAATATAAAATGAAAATTAGTTAGAATGAAGAAATGTGTCACAAACGAATGAAAGAATCAAGAAAGAAAGGAAGGAAGGAAGGAAGGAAGGAAGGAAGGAAGAAAGGAAGGAAGGAACGACTTCGTTAAAAAAAAAAAGAGCTTAGGTAGAATGTATCAACTCGATATATCGATGATGAACTCATTGTTTACATGTTTTACGCATTTCCAAACACGAATATGCTCAGTTGGCGCCTACCCACCCTACCTGGGTGCGCCTCATACTGTTTTTTCCTGGTACCTCGATTGAATGTCCGGCACACTTCTTCCTGACTGGACGATCGAGACGACAGTGGATAGATATCAAGAGCAAATCTTAAAGAGGTCACGCTTAAAAAGGTCACGCTAAGTGGCTGAGATAGAACAATAGTTTAATTCTAGATTGGTTTTCCCTGCTAGCAGAGTCTCTCTTCTCTTTCTCTCCCTTCTTTCAGGCGGGGAGGAAATAGACTCTGCTGATGTAGAGCGTTTTCTTTGATACACCGCCGTCCACGATTGTGGACGAACAAAACCAGTTTTAAAACCGGTTTTTAACCGATTACATGTAGTGCGCATGAGCAAATGTAAGACACAGTGGCGCCAAACATTGTTTGACGAGAGCGGCGGTCAAAATCATGACAGCGTTGCTAAGTTACGCCACGCATGCGCGACAGAAATAACGTCCTACATCGGCAGAGTCTATTTTTCTCTCTCAACCAAAACAAAAGGAAATTAGGCTCTGTTAGCAGGGAAAGATTGGTTATATAAAAGCGTTTTTTTGGATTGTTCGGATAACGCTATTGAATCTCTATGGAAGTATACATTTCCTCTCGTGATTTTCAAAAGGAAGTAGATAAACTTTCTATAATAACGGACACTTGCCCTGCTAAATAAATATAACACTTATCCTCTAAATCTTGTGTTAACAAACGATGTCAACTTCCTCAGACTAACGACAGATCGCGTGCAATTATCAATGTTATTTTTTCAGTGCTTTAAAGTGTTTTTGTGTTATTTTTTATGGTTTTTGAGATCAATTATTTCAAGAATGAGCCATAAAAACACACACGACGAAAGACTAGCGTCCGAAACGTCAGTAAATGTTTTCATCTTTTCACGGTGTAAAATTTACCATTTTATCATTACCGTTTCATTAGAAACACCGATTCAGCTAACACTAGTTTTTAGCTAGTTATCTCTTCATAAAAACACACAGATACAAGAATGGAAACGGTGTGAAAAGATCATAGTACGACTGAACACTGATTTTATTTCAAAAAACTACAAGTGAAAGAGGACAGTTAGTGGCGGATCCAGGACTTAAGGGGGGGGGGGGGGTTCATTTTTGCGAATCTCGCCACAACAACAAAGTTCTCTTGCATCATCATTTTTCCCATGATCCACATCACTGGCCTAGGGGCGCTCCTGATATTAAATCTCATGAGTTAGTACCATACTTTTATTTATTTATTTAAAAAATATAAAAAATCCAAGGTACCAGCCCGTTGCACCCAATGAATCTCCCCCCCCCCCCCCCCCCCCCCCCCACAGGAGGAAAGGAAAAGCTTGGAGGGACATTAAAANCCCCCCCCCCCCCCCTAAATCCGCCACAGGAGGAAAGGAAAAGCTTGGAGGGACATTAAAATGGTTTCCGCCCTGAAGCAGTCATTATGAAGCTCTATCCTGTTCACAAGCCCTTTATGAGTTTCTAGATACAGTATTTACCAAGTCAAGGACATTAAAATGGCTTCCGCCCTGAAGCAGACATTATATAGCTCTATCCTGTTCACAAGCCCTTTATGAGTTTCTAGTCACAGTGTTTACCAAGTCAAGTATCTTTATGATAATATCGATCGCATACCATGGTTAATTGTCCGACCATTCTGCTCTGTCTACGGTCACACCTGCATAGCGAGGACTTACATCATACGCCGCCAAAATTCACTATAACTTGGTTCATTTATCAAGACACCAACAACATAACTTCTCAAACGTTGCAATGATTCTTTTAAAAAATATGAGATGAATTTCTGAGCAGGTTCTGATGAATTTTCGAGTAAAAACCGAAGGTCAAATCTCCGAACAAACAGGAACTCTGCCACAATTGTTTTGTAAAGCCGGAAACTAATTATTGGTAATTAGCTGTTACGTAGACAACGTTAACAGCATGCATAGGGATGTCCTTCATGGTTGAGCCGAACGTTGAGAATGTTGGTGCTTTTTCCCAAAAAGATATTCAATTTAATCCACATATATTAATTGGTTGGCTTTATTGAAGCATGGGCTGTCAGTGTGGTTCGTCTAGTAAATATACTGCGATCTGAGGCTTTTCATTGTTTACTTTAGAAGTCATTACCACTGGAATTCAAAGACCTCGTTTTAATAAGTTTTGAAGGACAGGGTAAAATAATCTTTTAGAAAGAATTTTGAAGAGGTACTTGAGATATTGAACTAGCGGTACTTGGTGATAAAGCCATGGCGTCAATACCTTTTGTAATATGTAATGGTAACTGGGTTTAAATCAGCCTTCCATAAACCACAACAAAAAATAAGAGTAAAGACCAAAAGTTCTCGAATCGTTTAAACCGTTAAGCCTGCACAGTGTTCAAAAGTGTATATTAACTGAAGTGTACGAGAGAAACATTTGATAGTTTTTAAAAAATCTATACTGATATATATATAGAAAGAAGGATAAAACTTTAAATATACTTCACTTATTCTTTTTTTTAAACGAAAATTAGAAGGGCCATTCCTTCATTCTTCTCACTGGCACAATAAATTTCCTCAAATTCTGAAGCCAGCTACGTTTTCATTTCACGAACTGATATAAACAATACATTTATAAAATGTATGCCTGGTTTAATACGCTCTTGTCATAGGTCAATATATAAACGTTTTTTCGATACGGGACATAGCTTAAACCTTTGTAACATGTCGTTCATCTTTCAAAACATCACTAAATCCCTTCGGATTGGCCACGGAAGTGACCTTTCATTTCTACATGCGGTCCGCAAGTTTAAAATTCTTTGGATTAATCCTGGCCACCTTTCTATTCATAATAGTGACTTTCGTGTTGTTCTATGCTTCTCATTTTAGGTGTATTCAAAATAACCTCCAAATCAATTTTTTTTTCAAAAACACCCTCTGACGTCATGACCAACCAATCACATTCAAGTATGCGAATAATTTTCTCTGGAAGTGGCGTCTATAAAATACCAGCATTTCACGGTTTGTCTAGATAATGTTGACAACCTTTTCGAATTCCAAGAAATCCGTAAAGCAAGTTCGAAAATGGCAAAGTTTAAGGATATTGTTGGTCTAATGTTTGTGGTTCTCTATATCGTCGGTACTTCCTGCCAAGAAATGACAAACGGTAAGTTGGTTTCCCTCAAGACTTTCTCTCTTTCTGGTATTCGAATCAGTACACTCGTTTAAATTAAGATGATTTAAAAATATATAAACTGATTAAGAGTTTAGATTTTCAAAAGGGCATCGATCTGTTCTCAATATCGTGTATTTAATTGGTTTTACATAAACTTAAAAACGTGACAAGTTTCAGCACCTTTCAGCTCTGACCTTTGAAAATTTATTCCCCAAGTTTCAAAACCAACTTTTCAAATTTCGTATAACTTTTAGTGATACTACTTTGATATATCTAAATTCTTACGATTCCATTTTTCTTAGTTAAAGTTTTAAGATTAAATCATAAATTATATGTTTATTCTTTTCATTACTTTAGAAGTCACAGCGAAGCAAAACAAAGACAGAGAAGCTTTGCTAAAAGCGATGATGTACATTAGTGAAACTGCACAAAGCGACTCACTACATACACGGGTTAAACGAGGCGCGGGAAAAAGACATCACAGACGACGACCCAACTGGAAAGATCATCCACTCTACCCGCTCTATCCTATTGATTTTGAAGGTACTTTACTTTTCAATATCATTCTTCAAACAATTCTTTATTTCTAAGATTTCAAATTGTAATGAAAAAAATCTACAAATAGACAAAACGGCTATTTAGATCGAAATGTCAAAAAATGGTGTAGTAAAAGAACTTTGCACGCTGCTGAAAAGTATGTTGGGCTAGTACAAGTTTTTCAAAATGAGGATCTGAGTATAAGTTTTCAGCTAAGGGAAGGGAGGGAGGCAGGGCTGGAGCTTCAGAGGAAAGGGTCGTCAGTAAATGAACTTTTGTGTAGGGTAAAAAATAGGAGGGTCAAGAATTTCTTTCCGAATGAAAATGGAGGGCTACAATAATTTTTTAAAACGTTTACCCCCATCACAAGCTTAATACCGGATGAATATATCTATATTAGTGAGAAGAGTTTCAAAATTCCAGCTAAAAAATGATATTTAATGAATGTAGGGAAAGGGATAGGGTGTTTACTTGTTTTTGACTGGTGTGCGTTGTAATCATCGAACGACCATCAAACAGACCACCTAAAGTTGTTTAACAGTAATGAAGATATATATTTCTGTGTTTTTTTTTTAAGTGTGTGAGGACTCCCCTCGCGAATCAAAGAATGGTCTTTGCGATTCATGGGAGAAAGCAGGTTACTGTAAAAAAGCCAGAGAGATAATGAAAACTTACTGTAAAAAGACTTGTGGCATGTGCAGTAAGTATATTTCAGTATATTTATTTAGTTTGTTTATTTATTTATCCAACTTTGATTATCTGAGGTGGACGGAAAGCCTTACAGGTTTAGGACCCAATTATAAGCCAACCGATTTTCTAGTTGTCACTCAAAGTCGCTAAAAACCTTGTTATCCCCATAGTGGATAGTCTCCCTCGCATCCGTTTTTAGTGTCGGTCGTCACGCAACGCTAAAAACGGGTGCGAGGGAGACCTACATAGTGGACTATATTATCATATACCAAGACCAAAAACCATTCACAATTAGGAATTCCAAGGTGACACCGTCATCGTGGTCAAAATTCGTATATACCATGGCCAAAAGCCAATAAGAAGGCAAACAATGTACTATTTCCATAATGGTCTATATTTTCATATACCATGACCAAAAACCACTATTCACAATATAGAATTCCACGGTGCCACCCTCATCGTGGTCTAAATTTGTATATACTATGGCGAAAAGCGAATAAGAAGGCAACAATTCTTAGTATGGCTCGTGGTTTGTTTTCAATTCATCATTGAAAAAAAATCCAGATCACTTTCGATATTTTGCACAGCCTCAAGATCTAACCTTTGGTCTTCATTATAATTTCATTCAGAGGCCCGCTCACCAGTGGCTTGTAAACGCTCAAAGTTTGGTTGCTGTTGGGACAACGACCCCGCAAAAGGAATCAATGGTGAAGGATGTCTACGTAAGTAACTACGACACATACAATGACTCTCGTTTAATAGAGCCGAGGTTTTCGTATGAGTGGGAAACGATATGATAAATTAGTAATCGTACTGTAGCTGTATCATGTTGATCTTGCCCGAAAATGCCTCGCGCACATCTTGGAAAATATCTATTTTCAAAAAGATATAAGAAACTTCTATAGCGACAAACCGTAAGGAATGACTGATGAATAATATATTTATGAAGTAGTTAAAATGTTTTTTTTTTTTCTTTTTTTTTCTTTTTCCCCAGCTTGTTTTGATATTTATCGCATAACATGTCCACAATTCAAAGATTATTGTGGCAGACAAGACAGGAATGGTAGATTTATTAGATATCACTGCTTCAACACTTGTGGCCGTTGTGCAATGTAGTCAAATGTAAGTCAAATACGGTAGAACTTTTGCTACCTTTCTTGTCTATTTAATCAAGAGAATATTCTCTTGATTTAATTTAAGCGGCCAAACTCTAAATGGCTAGTTGTTAAGATCTCAAAGAAGGTCTTATCAGTTTGCACTTTTTTATACTTTGTTAATGTCTATTCGGCATCCATTTCCCAAAGATTATCGAGGGACTAGTCTTCTGTGCAGCCGCTATTAGTGTCGTGAGCGTTGCGTGACGACACTTATAGCGGCTGCGCAGGAGACTAAGAGGGACTAATAGGAAAATATCATAACGTTCTTAAAACCTGTTAGCTCTTAGCCTCACTTTCAGATTTTCGCGCCATTTTGAGTCCTCGTCTTGAGAGCCTGCGCTCCGTTTTGTCATGCTGACCAGTAGGAATGCAGGCTTTGTATGTAGGATTTTTTGGCCTCGCAATTAATACAATACGCATCCTCATGATTTTTAACTTCTTTTGGGACGGTTCATTTTATACAGGCATAGGGGGGATTTTGTGAAATGTAAGTAAAAAAATATATGACCCCTTCCTTTCCTAAATTGCCACCCCCCCCCCCACACACACCCGTAAAAAATGAACAGTTCCTTTATGATAAAAACGTCATTTTTCCTTTCTCCAGGCAAAGTTCACTCCACGCAAATCACTGAAGCCATCGCCGGTATTAGCGATAGTATAATCTCTAGATCTATACAACTGGAAAAGAAAGTGAATAGCAAGCTGGGCCGGATGAATACAAAATGGTTGAGGGAATCTTAAGAGATAATGACCCTCTTAAAAGAAGACAAGAGTCTAGTCTAAACCTCAGTACGATATTCCAGTTTTGAGTTCTCTATTACTCGGGGTCAGGGCTAGCCTCGATTTTGTGTAGAATATTCATACATTCCAGTGAAGATCCGTGGAGTTTCAAAGTGTTCGTATTGTTGTAGTTGTGCATTCTTTACTTTACCGTTGGTATTTGTGAATATTTAGACACWGATATGAGACTTTGCCTGAGTAAATGAGTCTGTAATCAAGCAACACAGCGGTAATTTGGAACTCGAAAAAGCCCTATTTAAATATCCGCTTGCCGACTCACCTATAGTTTAGTTATATACGTACTCGAGTTAGAAATATTTGATGCCGCAAGATAGTGATTTTTACCGGTAGCAAGACCGATATGAGACTTCAAAATAACAAAAGTCCGTTCGACGTTGGAAGGACGATTTATTTAATAGATAGAAGAAGAGTTTTTTTAAGTAGATCCACTTTGATATTACTGGACAATGTTTTAAGATCATTATGGTCATTTTGTAAGTCTGTATACAAACAATAGATATATCATATGTATTTATTGAGGAGCTCTGGGCAATATGGTTATCTATTTACAAATTTATACTCATTTATACTCAGTGATCATAATATTGTATGGCTAAAAATGAGAATTGATAAAATATTAATAGTTAGTCGTGAGTGAAGTCATACTCGCTTGACCTCGGGCTGATCAAAGTCAGGGCGCGGTTAACTGCAGGTTTTGTCGAGCCACGAAAACCCGAGAACTCGGGGGAAAAAACCTACGAATCGATGTAGAGACCTAACAATCTCTATTCTTATTGAAAACCTTGAAACACTAAGATTTTTGCCCCCATTATCTCATAACCTTGACTGATACTAACTGATGATAATGGCCTCACAAGATAGAGTGATGAGTGTTTGATGTAGGGGTTACGCATCGCCGTGGGTTAGATCGAAAGATGGAGATTTTCAAAAACTTGAGTGAGCTAGTAATTGCACTGTGTGCGTCCTATTCATTAATTTATCTCACCCGCTACCCCTATAGAAAGCGTAAAGCGATAGAACAATCTTAATTCTATTAACCACCCTTATTCTCTGATTCTGATTTCCTATATTATCACTATGCTCCATAGCTGCCAGGGAGTGGAGTCACTATTTCCATAGTGAAAGCATTGAAACTTTTTTCTGCAGGTTTCGATATTTTGCGAACTCAGACATTTCAACGGGTTGTTGTGAAATTGGTTGTTCACTGCTACCAGTCAAGAAAATTAAAAGTACAGACTGATTATTTTTGATTGACGGCAGCGAAGCACCAAATTTCAGCGTGTAGCTTGCAATTGCCGAATTCGCAGAATATAGAAAACAAACCTGGACGTTTTTACCCAGTAATGGCAGGATTTTCCTGCTGCGTCGCGCGTCGGATGCAAGGTCCAAATGAGAATGTAGTTTACAGCCCTTTGGGTGGTTAATGAGATGAAACAGTCGATATAGTAACGAATGCATGGTTCGTAATGAATATTGTTTTGTTAGAAAGTTGGTGGACGATTAAGATTGAAAAGATTTAAATGAATTGATTTTAAGAGGAAATTTTATTTGAAGTTTGCAGTTATTGAATGTGTGCACAAACACAAACAACGTTTTCGTATTTTATTATTAGTTTTTGTTTATTTCCCCTTTTTCTTCCTAATTTTTTTCCTTTTCTTCATAATCAAGGAACAACAAAGCTCTTCTTCTTGTTCTTGTT